TCAGGACAGGACAAATAAATGTCAAGGTTTGCACAGCATTCAGAGGAATTTCCCCAGCCCTGCACGTCAGATAGGTCAGATGGGTCCAGGTTCCCCCCGCCAGGATCCAGATCCCTCAAAGAATCTGTGGATATAACTTTTTCAGGGGATGGATGGTGTTAGAAACCTTTCTTTAGTAACATTACATGTTAACTTGTAAACCAAACAGCATATACTCAATAACAGTCCATTTGGTTCAATAGAAATAGATCTTTATTAATAACATGCACATCATATGTATATTTAAAATACATATACATTTTTCTACTATTCACTTTAGAAAACAATTTCATAAAAACCTTTAATCAGGTCCCAAGTAATTTTAAACATTAAAAAGCCATTTTTTATTATAGAACCAGTAGGTATTATTCCAATTAAGTGGTGTATAATCACCATGTATTTAACATAATGCAGGCTCATGCATTTCAATAGAAATAGGTGTTCCCTTTTCTGCTTTGTTAATCATGTCAAATATATGATGATATACTTGACAACACCTGCCACAGTTGTTATATGCAATTGTAATTCCCTGCTGAGAGCGCGCTGTACAGATGGCGTTTAAAAGCTGGAGACAACTTTTTTACAACTTTCTGAGTTCCCATGAGGGGCGCCTGGTATTGTAGGTGACCCAGAACCCAGCTATGACAGAAACCAGAAAAACAGAATTTCATGAACAGCGAAGAGGAAAGCAATCTAAAAAAGAAGAGAAGAGGGAATTGCCATATCCCCTCTGTGTTCATGGCAAACAGAGGTCAGGGCCATGTTTCCCAAGGCCCCGCCAAGTACCGAACTAGGTCTGTATAGAGTGCACGGAGTTATCAACTATAGACGGTTTGCAGATTTACAGAACATATACAAAGGCTCGTATGAGGATGGGACTTTAAGGCACGATAGTCCATATACTCAACACATTCATTGAAAACAAAAGTTCAATTTACAGTGCAATATAAATGTATTCAAGAACTCAAGCGGCAGCTCGATGATCGCTTCCACCGATAATTAGGCAGCTGAGGAGTGCTCTGCGGTGCGCAGCAGCCCCAGCCCTGCCCACGCTCATACCCACGCCGAGCGACAAGTGCACGAGGAGCCCCTCTGGCTTCGGCGAGAGGATCTGTGCAAAGAGACTTAGATCTGATAGCGGTTGCGTTTACACGAGCGGGGCCGTAACGTGTCGGGGTGTCAGCGGCAGAGGAGCCGCCCCGCTGAGCCAGGGCTGCCTCCCGCGTGTGCACCCCCCCGGCCCACAGCCCCGCGTGGGGACCCCACGCCCACCCCCACGCCCACCCCCACCGCCCCTTCCGCGGCCAGGATCGGGCCCGGCATTTACAGAGAAGAAAACTTAACTCATTGAAACACTAATTACAGTCAGGTGTGCTGCTGATCCAAGACAAAAATTAATTGTCCTAAGCCAGTCATTTTCAAAACGATCAGCTGTCATTACCAAGGCTGTCCTTGTCACCCGGCTCGTCTATATTCTCTCTGATGAACATATTATCTCCAAGGCAACCGAGTCAAAGGGAAGGAAGGACTTTCTTTACATTCAGTGCAAACATAGCCCATATGTGGGAGTTCCTAATGCAGTCGTAATAGAATATAGATATATATATCTATCACTGAAAGTTGACCACCTACAGAAGATTCACACATCAGAAGCCAGAAAAGCCGAGTTGTAGCTACAAACCCAAAAAAGAAAAATCACTGTATGTAGCTGTATTAAAATGCTGGTACCCAGTAACTTGGTAACTAAATGTTAAAATCAGTATATAATTCAAAAAGTGTCAAATTAAATATTTGGGGAGTAACTTGCAATGTAATTGCACCTTTGCGCTTCTTTATCACCCCATAAAATATGGGGTTTAAGCACTAAAAAGTAGAATGTTTCAGACCCACTTTTCAACAGCACAAATCACTGTGCAAAGCAGAAGGCAGTAAAAACTTGAGCAGACAAAGTATTTAGACTTGTGGACCTTTGATTCAATTTCATATCAAAAAGTCAACCATAAAAAAACAATTCATTTTCTAGAAAGAAATAATCCATTTTAACAGCTCCTAGAGCAAGTAGAAATAAAAAAATCAGACAATGTTTTTGTTCAAGAAAACAACACATGAGAAAAACATGAGTAAAATATCCTCCTATTTCACAGGTAGCCCAAGGAGTTTTGTTGTCTGATACAGGTTTTTGTGTGTTATATCTGTTCAGTTATTGTAACACCTTATCAGAGAAGCTTTCAATGGGCAAGAAAGTATTTGCCTCTTCCAGCAGGCAAGGAAGTTACTCTTCAGAGATGACTCTGACAGGGGAAAATTTTTTTTTTTTTTTCAGGTGAGGTTAAAGTCTTTATTCCTATTATGCTTTTTCATTCCATTGAAACATTATTAATTTTATGTAAAACTTTTTGTTTATTCAGGCCAGAACCATTCTATGAATATAATAAAGTAGGTCAGTGAAAGGAAAAAAAAAAAAGCATTTTAGTATTTCATGTAGCTGCTAGATCATTATGAATTTAAGCGAAAATGGACACAAACTATGCATAAATCAGATCACTTCAGAGCAGAAAATTACATCGTTTGAACAATCAGAAGACAGAGGTAATTTTCCTTTACCACCTAGCAGTCTTCTAATGTCCCTACCCCAGCCCTTTAGTCTGCACGAGGTGTGCAAGGTGCCAGCAGAGGCCAGAGAGCTCTTTGGGGGGATAACGGCACCTCTCACAACATCCATCGTATCATCAGCCCACAGCCCACGCAGCAGGTGGGGTTCGCTGCCAGCTTTTGCTGGTGGTATTAGGGCTGTTCCACACACCTGAGAATTAGCCTCGCCTTTCTCAGCCAGCCCCTGTCGAGATGGACGTGGCCACTTACAGCTGGAGATTTCTCTAACTATGCCAAACACAAGCTTAATTGTTCACATGATTTTGGGCTGGTGCAAGCCCAGGGCCAGCAGGAATATAACCACACTTAGCCAAGCAGCTCTGGCACAGAATTATACTGACCGAGGCTTTAAAGACACCCTTTTGTAAGAGACGAGTAAATATGCCTTGTCTCAAAATAAAAACAAAAACCTGAACATTCATCATGACTAACAGAACCTCCCAAACAGCACTGCCCTGTTTCTCCAGCCTTCCCACAGTATCTGCACTGTTTATGTTCTCCAGTTTGCAGGTTATCCTTGTTTTGAATTAGACTGTTGCCTTTTTTTTTTTTAATTTTATTTTCATTTTCAAAAATATTTGGATTTCACTGTTTCCTTCTGTCTCCTAAACCTGTACTGACTTCTAACTGTTGATATCGGAGTTAACTTTGCTCTTCACACCTCCTGCTTTTGCCCTTCTGTCTTTTCTCCTGCACTAACATGCCTGAGAGCTGCGATGATACATGCGACACACACGACTAGGATACTCTAAGCAGGGTTACAGGAGGAATCCTACATGAAGCACATCCCTGGCAAGCAATGGCATTTGTTCATACTGTACAATGCTTTGGAAATAGCATCAGCCACATCTGCATGAGCAAAGCCTTTCAAAATAAAAGATTTAGTTCTTAGATACGTATCTGCCTCCAGCTGAGTGTGCACTATTATTTACTTTGCTTTAAAGTTTTAAAGTAGTGATAGCTAGCGAGGCAAAGCCGGTTTCTTCACTGTAAGCCAGCAGACCTGTAGGACTTTGATGGGCTTTGGATCATCTTCTATATTTGTTCAGCAATTCTGGGATGCAAGTCACCCGCAGCTGACCTGCAGGTGTATCGGTAACAGCTAGTTTACAGGCTCATTAATCACATTTCCCCAGGTTATAGTGCAATCTTTGCTTTTGACCCCATTGCTGGAGCATCATCTTTTCCCCTTGTATTACTCTTTGGTATTTTCATGACATAGCTTTGGCAGCTATAAAACTTTCCACTTTTAGTTATCAATCTGCTGAACATCTCTCATGTCATAGCTTGTGAAATACATATTTACATATTTTAATGTTAATTCTCAGATTGAAATTAGGCATTTCACTTAACCTGAAACACTATTACTAATGCTGAGCAGTTACATCAGGAGAGCCTCTGAGGTTTTACTAGCAACTGTCAGATACTGTCATTCTCTATCTATAACAGTTATCATTGTTTTTCTGCCTTTTATATTCCACATAAAAAAGAAATTGCTGTCTATCCCTTAGCACCAACATGAGCCTCTGGCCAAACAGCAAATAAGCATGCAAAGAAGTATGAGGGAAACAGCTAGGGAAAGAATCAGATGAGGTTAAGGAAACACTGATGACGGGCTGAAGAAACAATCTTTCCTGTGAGTCATTTTGATTTGTATTAAAATAGCAAAGTAGATACCAGCTAAGAGATAATATAAGCAAAAGGTGAATGCAATTATTAAAAAAACAAAAAAACAAACAAAACAAAAAAAAAAAAAACCCAAACAAAACAAAACAAAACCACAAACAACACAAACCCTTGCAAATCTCAGTATAGAGTATCTTGTAAGTAACAAGTCTCTGAAAATCCTAAGCAGAAGGCTGCTTCCTTTGGCACTGACTCCTTCATGGTCAAAACATTTCTCAAAGAAACTTTCTATCTATACCTTTACAGTAAATAACTTGCATTTTACTCCTCACTGTTAGACTACTCAACCGCTTTGGGGGCTCCCCTTCCATTGGGGATAGCATAATTTAACTGCAAAGTGAATTTGAACATCTCTACACACAGATAACTTAAATGCAGCTTGGTTTCTACAAAACACATTGTGCGCAGTCTCTGTGGGTAAGGGCCTCCGTATTGCACCAGCCCTCTGTGTATGCCAAGGTACTTCATGACCAGGGGGTTAACAGCGGGGACTGCAGAGCATTATTCAAAGTACCTTCCACTCAGCTCTGAACTCATCCGCCTTTGATCACAAGTATATCTGCAATTAGTGCCTCATCTTAACATCTCAATAAGCAGTTCAAGCATTCAGAAACAAACATCAGTGGGTCTAACAGCTACTTTAATTCATTTTATAAATAAGCAATTGAGAATTTTGCTCCAAGTGGCTGCTCGTGTAGCCCATTCCGTAAACGGCGTTCTCTGCAGAGTAAGGCACGATGCGATACGAATGCAGCTCTTCATAATAGAGCGACTGGGAACAGCACTCTTGTACCATAAACTTCAGCCGTTTTCGTGCATCAGAGTAAGCAGTCCTATAACACGGAGCCTCCTTAAAGTATTCATAGCTCTCCCTCTCTGTCTCTAGATGAATCTTCCTCAACAGATTGTTAATTAATACAGACCTACGGAGATAAGCTTCAGGGTCATCCAGGAATCGGAGTTTCTGGAGAGAAAGTTTTAGAATACAAGTCCGGTCCTCAGGTAGTATCAGGTGCTGGGGAGTAAAGAGTAAGCAAATGGGTCTTTAGCATCAAGGAATGAAAACAGGGGAGAATGGGGTCACGGAATGAGATAGCTACTCACTTTTGGACAATACTCATGGTAATCTTGATGTAAATGTTCTTCTTCTGCATATTTTCTCTTAAAGTAGGCTACTTTCGACGTCGTTAATGTCTTTGGTAGGCCCCGATCAGATCAGCTCTGCACAAAACAAGAAGAAAAAGAAGTTCATTAACACTTGCTGCCATGGTGGCTGTAACATCACAGTCTGGGGGTGTAGGGGAAGGAGGGGTCCAGAGGTGGGATGCAGCCAGGCCGACACTCAGCCTCGACCTGCCGCCCTCAACCCACTGGAAAAAATAATTGAGAGGCTGGCAACTGTGCAGGCATTTGTGAGCCACCACCTCGAGGCTTGCCAGCACAGCAAATCCTGCTCCAGAGTGACAACCACAGCACTGGACACAGGCTGCCACGCCGGGCAGGGTGCCCAGGCCCTACAACCGAGCGGGTACCCCCCCAGCCAGGCACAGCCTCACAGAGCAGGGCGTGAGAGATGCCCAAGCTGGGAAGGTCTCCATGCACTGCGGAAGGAACGGGGATGGGACCACCCATCTGCAGAGCATGGGTCCCTGCGCCACACTGGGGTCTGTGTGGGACTAGGGATGGGTTTTAATCTCCACACACCATACACAGAGCTCCGTGTTTTCCCTGGAAACTGAATACAGAGCGTATTCACTAGATGGTAGTGTCGTCCCAGAGAAGCAGGAGAGCCCCAGCCTGGTGAGAGGGTGATGGAGCTGATTTGGTCCCTGGGTTGCTTCAGTTTTTCAGGGCGTAGAGGATGGAGGTTCAACTTCTGGGCTAAGAGAAGGGACTATTGGGGTTTTGCTCTGTGAGAAGAGCCCCGTGGAGGTCTGCTGCCCCAGAGCAGAGCCCTGCAGGGGACCAGGGCTCTCTGCACACCCACAGCCAGGCCTGGCTGGCTGCTCCGGGTCCACTCACCTCTATGGAGAGGTGGCATGGTGCTAATTCATAGTCTTAATGAGATCCGTAACTTCGGTGGTATTCGGTCTGGTGAACACTGGGTCCCTGTGAGACCCACGACTGGGTTTTGCTTTTCTATTCACTAGACAATACAAGGAAGCCCGTGTATTTGTGGGTGACATCATCACCTCCCAAGCCCTCTCTTTTGTAAGAAATTTCTGTTGTTTACTTTTAAGTGAACTATTTTTTAAAAAGTTATTATGCTGGCATTTTAAGACAATCCAGGGAAAGAAAGTATCTGGACCAACTTTTTAGAAAAATTCGGGTCCTATGAGACATATTTTCTCCCCCAAATTGAGATCTCCTTACGGAAGGCATTTGAAACTTAGGTTTTCTGAGGAAATAAAGGACTTGGTTCTGGACTGCTTCTCTGCCACACTAGAAAATCCAAAACACAGACCTCATGTCGCTGGAAGGATCCTGCCACAGGGCGTAGAGGGCTCCTTGAATCTTACCTGCAGGTGGGAGTGAAGATACCCGCACAACTAGTTCAGGGACTGGTGGCATCTCTCCTTCACTGGCAGGAAGGAGTAATGTGCTCTCCCTTCATCTACATCAAAAACCCACAAGAAAAGGCTGAAGAAGAACTCCCCTCATAAGAGAGTCATCTTGTGTTTTCTCCCTGAATTTCAAGTCTGTGCGGATGGAGGTTTCCCATAAAGGATGTTACAAATCTGGTCAGAAAACTCTTGACTGATGGATTAGCACCTCATTTGGAGCCAAGACCCCCAGCCCTGCTCTGGGATGGGGCTTGGCACGGATTGCATGAAACAGCAGCACTCCCCCAGGAGAAGAGCCATCGCTCTTGCAGTGGGACAACGCTGTTTTAGTCAGCCTGGATGACTGCACACACGAGAGATGCTCCCTGCATCCATCCCAGCTCTCGTGGGCAGGGGTACAGCCACGGTCTTCACCACTCTGTCAGCAATGGGTAGCTGCAAACACTGGTTTAAATTCATATGCAGCAACCTTCACTGCTTGCAGATTTTATTCTAGTATTTGAATTACACCAGAGCCTGGACACTGTGGACATTTAATTACTCTGATATTAGGTCCTCCTAGGTGAAAACCCCACTGTTGTGTTATTTGAGTGCAATCACAAATGCATTTATCCTCCCAGTGCCGTGGGATGGGAGAGTATTACACTTTTCCTCACATTGCTCTGAGGAAGACAAAGGTACAGAAAGATGAAGTGACATTCCTGTGGCCACCCAGGCTGTCAGGGCTGAGAAAGGAGCCAAACCCAGCGTACGGGTTGATGAGACAACCACAGGCCCATCCTTCCCCTTCAAACCAACCCTCTAAATGCTAAAACTCGCTCCCTAGTGGTTTTCAGTGAAAGGGCTGGAAGCACAGACCTAGCACTGCCTCTGTGCAGTGCAAGCAGAAAATCAGCCCGCACGCAGGGGCAGGACAGACAACCACAGCGGGCAGAGCATTGCAGCTCAGTCCTTCAGTTCCACCAGCTCCCTGCAAACCTCTCCTTTGCTACTCCTGGCCACAGGAATTCCTCACCTTGCCCCAGAGATGGAGGGTGACAGTGGGACATTCAGCGTCCCCTGAGCACGGGTGGCCCTGGAGACACCAGCAAAGAGCAGGGAGCCAGGACAAGGCAAGGAGCCGCTGGAGCGCTGGCACCCTGGCCCTGGAAGGGAGGGAGGGAGGGATGTGTTTTAGCACACAACATGGGCTGGGGGCTGCTGCTGGCTGGCAGAAGCAGACAAAAAAAATTGTATTTTTTGGAGGGACACATACAACCATACTGTCATGGGGTTCATCGAGCACCCAACAGGCACCCCGTTTCTGGGGTTACACTCAGCACCAGCCTGGGACATATCCCTTGGGTGCAAAGTGGTTGGCTGTATTTAAATTCCTAAAGACCTTACATCAGACAAAGTGGCAAAATTATAAGAACCCCCCCATAACCCGGATTAGTAGCAAGGAAGGGCAACAAGCAGCAAATGAACACCAAGAGCACTTCTGGGCTGTAAGGTTGGTTTTAAATATGTACCCACTTGTAAGTGAAAGGCTACGCTCTTAGAGCAAAGTAGCCACAAGCTGCTCGACACCATGCTAGCTGTTAGCAAATTCCAACAATTCCAGACCTTCAGGGCTTTGGGGCATCCACTTCCCCAGCCCAGCAGCTCCCATGGGTTGTCACGGGTGGCTCAACTTCCACCTCTGCTCCCCAGGAGGGAAGGGGTGATGCCTGCACGCCTGCAGCAACAGGATGAGAAAGTGAACCGAAGGCAAGCGCTGCCCGTGGCACAGCTGCTCCACGGAAGATGAAGGTCTGTTCTTGTGCTCAGTGTAGCTGCCATCCCACCACCAACTGTCTCATCGTCACTGTCATCTTTTGGGACTGCTGGTGATGTCCACACATCTGTCTGCAGGTGCAGGGGAACAAGAGCATGAACTGTGCCCTTGCACTGTGCCCCCAACACCGGCACTGATGCTAAAGCCTACAAGGGGCACCTCTCCCTGCAGGAGGCTTGCAAGGACCAAGCCTTTCTCTAACATTTGTCTTGAAAGTCAGAGCGGACTGGGTCTGTGTGTGCCTAAGAGCTGCCTGGCTGGGGTTACAGGCATACAAGGCTGTAGTAATGCCGCAGTGAATCAGACCCTTAGTGTTTTGTTTAAATATAAACATATTGAATCAGTGCTTTTTGTGTAGAAGGCTATTCTTGTGAGCCAAGTGTTTTGACAGTTACAGCAAGGTGGTATGAGTCACTGCCTCTGCCTCAGTCAAGCTCAGAGACAGCTATATCTTAATCACATTACGTTTTTTTTCAGCGCTACACCACAAGTCAAGGCACAGGGCCAAATTTCCCCACGGGGACTAACCAGCGTAGCGCTGAGTCCTGAGCGTGAGGTTTGTCCTTCCAGCCTGGATGAACCTCAGAAAAGCGCATTCAGCATCCCGCCAGCGTTCAGCTGCAAGCCCTCTGCTAGTCACCAAGGACTCTGTGAAATCTGCAGCGGCGGGCAGCGCTGTCAGGGCTCAGGAGCCCCAGGGCAGGGGCTGCCGGCTCACGCTGGCCAGTGTTTACACCCCGCTGGTGTAACGCCCTGCTCTGAGTGCACGGCACACTGGGGCACGGCGGCTGTAGCTGCCATTAAGGCTAATGGAAGTTTGCAACATAAATCCCGCACGCGGCAGTGAGGAAATAGGCGCCTCTGTCTCAAGCCTGGATCTCTCGCATGCAGCTTCGCGAGGCCTTTAATTGTACTTTCAAAAGAGCAAAATGCACCTGTTCCTATTTATTTCCCCAGGACTAATTACAGTGCTCTACGGCATGGTACCCACAGAGTTATTAGGCATGTTTGGACAGAGGGTTATCTTATCTAAATTGGGTTGGAAATAGATTTACAATGCAGCAACTTCACAGTTGAACTGCAAATTGCAAGAAATTCTCTTCATCTGGCTCCCGTGCTTCCCCATCACCCCAGCGACAGGAGCCCCTCTTCGGCATGAATGAGCGCCGGGTGATTTCCCCAGGGCTGCAAGCTAGCCGAGACGGGAGGCAAGGCAGAATTTAACAAACGATTGAACAGCCAGGGAAAAAAACCCAAAGCTTGTGCTTTTCCATCTCAGGCAACGGAGAGGGACCTGCAAGCTCTGTCCCAGAGCTCGTACGTGAGACCTTGGGAGCGTTCCCACACCTGCCTGCGCTGCCACCTCTCCTACCACTCCCCAGGAAGAAAATTCATCCCTGCCTGCTCGGTGCTGCAGTGAAAGGGGTTGTACGAGCCGGCACTGTTGGCTTGGTGATGCAGACATCTGCAGGGGGTAAGCACAGAGGCTCGCTGGCCAAGCCAGACCTGCCGACGCTGCGCGCAGAAGGCGGCGAGACAAATGTGCCGGTGCCCTGCAGGGTTTCCTCTTGCAGTGCAAGAGAGGATAATCAATATGCAAGCTAAAGCTGGCTGAGATGGAAACCATTTCTAAGCATCTCTTGCATGCGCAAATAGAAAACCTGAGCACACAGAAATTGGCATTTATTATCAGCAGGAGACGTGACTTTGACATGGCAGGACATATCATCATGTCCTTGCGACTGCTATCAAACTGCAGTGATAAATTCCCCCATCTCTAACCTCAGCAGCACTCACAATTAGGGAACGCTCAGCTGAAACCCTCCTCTGATTTCACACGCTATGCTGCTGCATTTCTTCAGGGGCAGGAAAAGCAGCTGGTCCCACTGTGGGATTCCCAGTTGATAATGCAAAGCTACCAGACAACACACAGATGAACATGTGGATCGAAAACACATGCCAGCCCCAGGATTTCATACAGGCTGCCGATCGATTGCAGTCCTTCAGGAGCATCAAGTCTTATTCCTCACTCAGGCAGAGCGAGCCCCCCTTAATTGACCCACAGAAAGGTGGGGACCCACAGCCATGCTGTTGTCTCCTGGCTGGAGCTGCTGGCTTTGCACTTTAAAACTGCCTTTCTTTTAATTTGCTAATTGTTTTGCAGATCTCCCTAATCACAGATTCTCCTCGGGTACACACATGTGCAAGGCACAAGCATCTGAACAGCTCTCACGAGTGCATGAAGACACGAGACTTAATGACTCACTATTCCTGTCTCATTCCTTGTGGTCCCACTGCTTTTAGCAATAGAATAAAATCAGATTTCCAGCTTCACCCTCTCTTAACACTAACCCAAGTAATTCCTCTCACTCTGAAGGCAAGCCCGACCAGCTGAAGTCTGCAAACTTGTTAGTTACCTGAGGATGCGGAGTCAATCTGCAAAGGGTCTTTCTGGGATAATCTCAGCAGTTTCAGTAAGATTTCGGCCTTGCACGGGCTCAGCGAGCATTTCTGGCAGCACAGCACTGCTGAACGGGTACCTGCTGTGGTGGAGCAAGGAGAAACACAGATGGTTCAGGTGGCAAAGTCAGGACATACATGGCAAGTAGCTGGACTGCAAGAGAGGAAAGTGCTATTTCAGCAGCCCCGCAGGGCTTAGTAACAGGAAAAATAAGAGTTCTGATGTCACATGCAATTCTCTAACTTTGACCTTGCTTCATGGACTCCCTTTCAAACATTGGGAAAGTGAAATAAAACATTAAGAAAAATCATTTCAGTCTCTCAGTGGTACAGCTGTAATCCTCTCAGAGCAAATGCTGCAAAAAATATAGCTTGCTCTTCTAAATATCCAGAAGTTTCCTGAACTAGAACATGATTACTGCCCTGAACACCACCTCTTAAAATGGCACATTATTTTCTCCATTAATTCTTGCCAGTCTCGGAGGAAAGCTAAAGGGCTACTATTAAAACCACACCATTATTTTGAGTAGTAGCATTAATTTCCTATCACACACACTCATACACACCCACACTGCCTGCAGAGTAATACAGGTCTGGGGAAAGGCAGATTACCATTTTTATTTAACAGAATTATTGCAGCGTGCATGTTTCAGTGTTTGCCTTACACACAGTACGGTTTCTAGGCTGCAAGTAGATGCAGCAGCAAGGCTGATGCCTTGCCTTCTGGGGAGAGCATTTGGCACACTGTGGTAAGAATATTTCCCACTCCAGGGGGAAAATGATCACAGATATGCATGTGCATACCCAAACTCTGCACTTTTCCATGTGTGTGCAGAGATACCCGCACTTTTTATGTGCATGGATGGAAAGAAATAAGTCTAAATCCTGCAAGAGAGAAAGAAACAGAGAGCATGTATGTGTGCGTATTCATGTCTTGCAGCTATAAGACACCTATATTTAGATAGCTGTCTCATCCCAGAGGATGATACTTCATTAAGAGGCAATGAAAGAGTAGCTACGGTGACTTTTCAGAGTTCAGCTTTGACCGTAAAAAGATGACTCTGGTTAAAGTCCCCTTTCCTAGAGCATGCTAAGAGCCCGGCAGGGCAGCAGGCACCACTGCCCACAGCCCACGGCACCGCAGGGTGAGCGGCGAGCCTCCCTCAGCTCTTTGCCCTCTTCCGCGACGCTGCAAAGCCGAGAGCTCCCAAACAAATACAAAACTTACTCCGCGCCGACAACCACCTGCTAAAGCCACCTAGGCACCGGCAGAGCCCCGCAGCAGAGCCTCACTGCCACCCACAACCCCACGGCTCGCCGTCCCCCGCCGCCGCCAGCTCAGTGGCACTCACCCAGCGAGCCCCGGCTCCAGAGGGGGGGCTGCTCCCCGTCCTTCCCTCGCTGCCCGGAGCCGCCCGCTGCTCCTGGAGGAGGTGGTGGCCGTGGAGGTGGCGGTGGAGGTGGCGGTGGAGGTGGCAGCTCCTGCGGGTCCCTGCAGCCACTGAGGACCGCATCACCTCCCGGCCGCAGCCCGCGGAGGTGGGTGCCCACATGTTCCCGGCGCGGATTGGTCCAGCGGGAGCAGATGTTGCCTGGTTGCTAGGAGCGTTGCTAGGAGCGTTGCTAGGAGACGGTGACGCTCTCTCCATCACTGGCGCGACTTGAGGCCGCGGGGAGGGAGGGGAGGGGAGGAGAGGGGAGGGGAGGGGAGGAGGGGGAGGTCCCAGCACCGGGACGGGACGGGCGGGACGCGGGGCTGCCCGGGGAGCCAGAGGATGGAGCAGATGCCGCTGCTCAGAGCGGGAAAGGCGGTGAGGAGCTGCCTGGGGCGTCGCGGCAGGGGATGGGGATGTGAAACGCCAGAGCTAGGGAGGCGGGGGGGCAGCTCTACTCCGAGCCCGGGGTGGGGAGGGGGCACGGACGGATGTGAAACCTCCCGACAGGGCAGGCTGAAGGATGCACGGAGCGGATCGGCAGCCGCAGGGGTGCCAGTGCCTGCTGCAGCGCGGGGAGAGGGCGAGAGCTCTGCCCGCTTCAGAAGAGTGGGAGAAACATAATCCAGGGCCTGGAAAGGCTGGGGGGAGCGGTGAGTCCGATCTGGGACTCCTGGTGGTAAGAGCTGAGAGCTGAGCTCCAATTCCCTCCCGATTTATGTTGCCCCTTCCTTCCTCCGTGGCCACCACCAGATCCTGGGACACCGTTTTTTTTCCCTGAGCCTTTGGGATGCTCCATCACGGTGCCCTGGGCCTCCCCCTGGCATATACACCCGTGACGACCTAAAAAAGGCACCACAGCACCCTGAAATCCCACGGGCAGAAACTGGGATTGCTGCAGGAATAAAAGTTGCACAGCAAAACGACCCAAACCTCCTCCTAGACAAAACAGCAGGTCACTGTGGGGTGGGACAGCTCCTGTATCTCAGGCAGAAAGGGGGATTTTACTAGTGAGCACCCTCCTTCTGGCAATAGGTGGGATATCAGACTCAGCCCACCCCCATGACCAAGGGTCCAGCCAGCAAGGCTCAGAAAAAGTTTAAAAGGACTAAGTAAAATCTTCCCTGTGTAAAGCAGTGTGCACAAAGAGGGGAAATGCTTGTCCCAAATATCCTAACTCTACAGCTAGATACTGACAGATATGAGATTACCCTCCGCCCTCTCTGCCACGCCCCCCCCCCCCCCCCCCCAAAAAAAAAAAAAAAGGTGTATTTTTTTCAAAACCAGTTTCTCCAGACAGCTATGAGCTATGTGTAGAGGTCTTCTCTGGAAGAAGTGTGCCACTTCTAGACTTGGAAAAGGGGCTACCGAGGTTATCCTATCCTACTACTGAAGGTGACTCAAACTCTCAGCCAGTGCAAAACCCAAGGCAAGGTGCTTGGGAACACATTTGTTTAGGCAGCATTTGAAGCTCCTGGGCAACCCCCTGTTCTCTTGTGATCTGGAAGACGAGTGCCTCACACGTGTTGTGTCTGGGCATGTCATTGCCGGTAGGACACACTGAGCTCTGGTTGCTCCAGGGTCTCCGCGAGGGTCCTGCAGAGCAGCACGCACCAGGCTCAGTTCTCCTCCCTCTTACACAGTGGAGGCAAACTTCATCTGGCATCCGCTCGATCAGTATCTCATCCAGATTTTAACAAACCAAGTCTTGGCAGGCCTGACTCCCGGCTAACATATGGCAGCACGGCAGCCTCAAACCAGTCACTCCATTGGCTTTGAGTACCTGGTTGTATTTGGAGCTCAGCACGCACTGATGTGCACGCACACAGCTCCTCTGGTCCTCACAGTTTGAGAAAAGATCAGTCACGGCCACATACTTACTTCAAATTATCTCTGAAGCTTTACTTCTTTTATTGAGAAGTCAAATGAACTCAAAGTAATTTCAAATTTGAATTTCAAGGACAATAGGAAGGCACTGGAATTTAATTGATTTTGATTACCCACCTTATTATTATGCTGCCAGTAGTGATAGTTCAGGTTGGTGTAATTTTAAATTTACTGTGAGATGAATCTGACATTTCTCTGCTGCTGAATAGAGGACTTGAGCAATTCTTCAGCTCTTCACAAAGATGTCATAATTAATTCAGTAATATCACTTCTGTAAGCAGAGATAGAAAAGGAAGACACAGAAGCACCTACTCTGTGTCTAAGAGCTGAATGAACGACAGGCTTACTTACTCCACTCTTCCTGAAATTGATTGTATTTTTTTTTAACATTCAACACAATTTCTGCTGCAAAGACACATCTTCACCTCTCCTGTCAGCACACAAGCAGGACGACTTAGCTGGCAATAATTTACAGCCAAAAGGTCAGCTAATCTTTCTCCAGCTGGCTCCAAGAAGCATTTCCACGCCCTGATCAGCCCAGAGCAGATTCTTACACAATCCAAGTCCAGCTGCTTTTCTTTGTCCCCTTTCTGAAGGGGCAGAGAGCACAGGGAAACAGATCCCCTGCCAGTATAAAGCAGCAATGCTCTGCTAGCTGAAAGGGACCTCCATCAAGATGAACAGCAGAAGCTCCATGCCGTGCCATGCCATGCCATCCCATCCCACCCCATCCCATCCCCTTCCTCTTGCCATGGGAGAGCGAGAGATGACCTCCCCTTCTCGTCTGAAGAAGAGCTTTCCCCTCTGCCAGGGACGCCTGGTCGGGAATCGCTGCCCAGCTGAAGCACACAACGTTTTAATGCAATGGAAATTAAACAGAACTGTGAACTCGGACCAAAGTCTCTATTGACAGTGATATTATTTGAAAAGATAAGACTTTAAATGTGTACTCCACAAGATAAAGCCTGGACAGGCAGACAAAAGAAGAGCAGCTTTTTTCTTTTTTATTTTTTTTCAGTCTTTTGAAAGTAAGATTGCCTAGCATAGTCAGTGCTATAATAAATATATGTTTTTAAATGGTTTAGAGTAATTGGGAATATAAAACCCCAGAACATTAGCATTTACTTTATTTAACTGCCTCACAGAATTAGAAAAAATCAGTTCCTTCATTTCAAAGCAGTTACATCTCCTCAAGCCAACTGTTAAAGAAAAAGGAATTAAATTAATGTGCCCTTTTGAATCTAAGCACCAAACATTCAGATGTGTGCATAAAAGCACCAGTCCTCCCAGGCAGCATATACCTACACACGTGCTGTATTTCTAAACACAGTATGCAGAAGGTATTTTCAAAAGATAAGATGTACCTGAAACGTTTAGCAATTGTACCTGAACGGCTGAGCAGTTTCAGATGTGAGGAGTTACATCCTGGACCAATTTTTATCCCTGGCCTGGCCTGCTCAGCTGCCTCCAACAGACAAAGACCCCCCCAAGGCTTTCCCAGCCGCTGACTTGTCACAGCAGAGACAAGGAGCTCCAGTTTCTGGACCCTGCTCGTGCCTCCCAACGGTTGGCCAACCTCAGAGGGACCAGATGACTTGGGAGGCTAATCCTGCCTGCGCCTAAAATGCAGCCTCTGCATTTCATCCCAAAAGACCATTTTTTTCTGTTCTTTTCTGTACTAGAACTCTATTTTTCTGCTCTATCTTCCAGTTCATTGTGCAAGAAAATTTGTTGGTATTTTTAAATTTGTTATTTTTTTTTTGGACCTTTTTACATTTAAAAAACCTTCAAAAAACTTCAGAAACAAGCTGGGGAAGAGCAGAACTAATGAAGCCCATTTTCTTACACATTTGTGCTCTTTATCCCCTCCATCCTCCCCACCACCAACAACCAAATCCCACCACATCCCCTGGGACACCCCCAACTCAACCAGAGACAGCGCAAGAGGCACCAGCTGTCCCTGGTCTGGAGCTGCACGCCATCGTGATGGACCAGCTGACTGACCCTTGGCCATCAAACCTACTTCTGCTTCTCTGTAAATGATCCTCTGCCAGGTGACGAAATCTGTAGAAGCATAATTGTCTTTGAGACAGTTACCCTTCTTTCAAATGTGATTGAAATTGGCCAACCTGTTCAAAAATTATGATGGTGGGGGAGAGACTGTTGAGGAGACAGATGGCAGACAGCTCAGCTTCTTTAGCCTCAACTGAGCTGATTGAGAAGTGGGAATGCTTTCACCCTCTCATGAAAAATGATATCACTCTTTTGCTGAAATTCAAAACTTAGTTTCCTGACATTAAAAATGTGACTTTTCCAACTGGTCAAGATTAGGATGACATCAGGAACGTCTTGGCAAAACAATACTTGGTGCTTTGCCAAGGAATGAAGCCGCTCTGAGCAAGGAATTAAAACGCAGCTGGAGGCAGAACAGGATAATCGGAACAATAAAACAAAACGCAGCCAAGAGCCCCCAGGGAGCCTGGCAAGACCCACACGTGCTCGTGCTGAACAGCGGGCAACCCAGCAAGAGCAGCAGCAAGTGGATTGCTAAGCCCACCGTCGTATTTGCACGGCAGTGTTATACAGCAAGCACATAGAAAGCCCAAGTATTTCACCACTGATTTTATGGGCAGCCTCATTCGGGCCAAGCTGCCCAAATCTTGGCACCAAGACATATGGCCCATTCCCTGCTCCAAGTTCAACGCCAGCAGCTTCAGCGTAGAGTGTGCCGAGCTCACACGGGGACAAAGGCAGCTCTGCCCGGAGGAATAAAACAAAACCCATTCTGTCTAACCCCGTGCTGGTGATCAGGCTGAGAAAACCCACCCACTGTGACAATACCACCAGCTCCTTTGTCACCACACAGCGGCTGAGGACGTTCCCACAAGGACAGCGCCAGACTGCAGGAACAGCGAAGCACGTGTGGAGTGCCCAGGGGTGCCCAAGTCCCTCAGGGTAATTGCCGGAACCCCTCGGCCTGGGGTTTACATAGGGTGGGGTTGGCAGGGGAATTGAGGCCAGCTGATGGGCAGGGTGAATTTTAAGGGGTTTTCAGAAAAACGCGTGGGGTGAAACAGCGCGGTGAATAACCAGGCCAGGAGAGCCCAGCCCTGACTCGGCACCGGTGCCCACCCCAGCTCCCAACCCCCCGAGCAAGTCGCAGACAGCGCCTGGTTCTGCCGACCCCGCTCTGTGCCCCGAGGAGCTGCCGGGGGGCTGATTGCAGCCCAGAGGAAACCCCCCCAGCCCCCCCCTTTGCAGCCAGCCCCGCTCCCCAGGTCTCCAAATACGTAAAACTTCACCAGCCCTTTCCCACCCCTCTCAGCTGGTCATCCCACCAACGTTAGTCCTCCACAAAACACATATTTCATCACCAAGTTGCACCAAGGCGGGTAAGTTTTTCCAAACTGCCTCGTGTCTCTCTGAGCCTCCCAGAATACCCCCCATTTTCCCCCCGTCTTTCAGATGAAGCTGAGTTTTCCGTGTACCCAGGCGCGGCTCGTATCAGCCACTGTTGCTGAGGCTTCCAGGGACTGAAGCTACCAACCGTCACCAGAAAAAGAAACTCTATTTCTGGGCTGGTCCTGGAAAGCCAGCCCTGCGGATGCCAGCAGGGATTCAGAAATCGTGGTTTCTCATGTCTCCCTCAAAGACAGCACTGCTATTCTGAGAGGAACAAACTAACCCCTGTTCAAAAAACACAGTTTTGGAATTTTTTTTTTTTTTTAACTTCTTTCTCTGACTTAACGCAGGCATAATTACAGCTGCAACCTGGTAGAAGTACACAACACACACAAATACATCATGACCAGAGGTACGTGCAAGCACAAGCGCCCGCCAGATAAAGACATACCCCTCACTGCTCCGGTGATGTGCCTGGCCTCCTATCAGCCCAATTTCAGCTCTCCAGCCCAACACTGGAGCTCTCACCTCTGTTTCCAAAGCAAAACACATCCAGCCCGTGGCCACCCCGACCGCTACAGGGGCATCCCTCCGCGTCCCGTACACATGGCCAGGATGCCCACAAATCCGGTATCCTCACACAGGAGACACACGGGTGACACTGCCCCACGCGTGCCCTGGTGCAGGCACCAACACATTTGCGGGTGTAGAGGAGAACCGATGGCTGGGGGACCACCACAGAGCTGGGGGAGAGGGGCTGCTCCCCCAAGTCCTGCCAGGGGCTGGATGAGAGCTGGGGGAACAGCAGATGCCGAACGCGTAGCCAGCACTTTTCCCTCCCCACGTAGAGCTGGCTGGAAAGTGGTATAGAGGGGGAGGCAGAGACACAGTGGGGCATGGGAACCTCATCAGTCCCCCAAAGCCCCCCCAGCAGCTTCCACCTGCTGCTGCAGGGCCCCTCTGGCCATGCGGGTGGACAGGGGGACCAAGGCGGGGGGGATATTTCCCATTCCTCCCAGTTATGCATTATGCACCGGACACCTGCATCTCTGTTCCTAACAAAACACATCCACCTCTCCTTGATGCATATTCACTCGGTTCTGCCACAATACGAACAAAAAGGAAGATACACCAGTTTTGCATGTCTACATGAGCCATCTGCTTCTATTTTATTGATAAAAACCTGTAACAACAGCGTTCACCATAACAAAATAAGACTGTTTCTAAGGTGTGGATGGTTGTATGTGTGTGTGGATAATTTCAGCTCAGAATTCTGCAGAAGATGCAGCTTTTTTTTTTTCCAGTCAGATATCATCTAGACATTAGTATTCCTAACGCAGCATATAATTAGCGAAAGGCAATATATTGTATGATCATGCACGTTAGCACTTAAGTAGAATAAAAATGTTTCATTGTCAAGTACATGAAAAGCTAAGAATAAACCCATACCACTCTTCCTGTTGAATATCCAAACATCTTTTCATCGTATTTTTCATCTTTTTTATCACAGTTTTGCACTTCGGATATCTCTTTCAATCACACACAGAGCAAGTGAACTGATGCTCATACCATTCCGGTGGCCTCACCAGTCAATATCAGCCATTTATTAACTAGATTGAAGGTACAATTTTCAGTGCATATCTTTGAACTTTACAAAAGTGAAAAGGGTATATGAATTTGTTTCTTATAACCTTCACAGTATGAGCAATTCTCCTTTTATAGATGTATTTATCATAAAAATAATTCAGCAATAAATTCAAGCTCTAGAAGCCTTGCTTTTGTACCGACAGAAGTTAGGGACCCAGCATTTTTATTAATTTGTCTGTACTGTTATTATTTAAGGTCATCAATTTATAGATAAATTTTGTGCTTGTACATCTCAGGCTGGGAAAGGAGATCCGAGATCTCTATTACTCTTGACGTACCCTCAGCCACGGGGCTGAATTACTCAGAAAACCAACCTGCTCGCTACCTGCCCACGGTCTGTGCCGAGGATACGAGAGCAATGAAAGGAAAAACCTGAAGGGTGGATTATTCTACTAAACACCCGGAGGGAGATGCAGGAAGTGGGCTTACAACGCTGCCCTGCGGCCGCGCTCCCCGGCAGCGGGGGGAGGCCGGGGAAGGACCGCTGCGTGACCGGGCGCGCGGGGGAAGAGGAGATGCACACACACACCCCAGCCACCCCATCGCCAGTGTCCAGCTGGGAGTGCAGTGGTGGGACAACAAATACTCATACCTGTCAGAAATGGTGTATCGTTCCAATATAAGAAAGAACACCAGTGCACACTAAAAATAACTTACTATATACAGGACATTTAAATCAACAGTCAAATACACATTGAGATGTGCTTCATGCAAATGCCTGGGAGCACTCTACCACAAAAAAACATTTTTATATACACACATATAAATGCCACGCAGTATTTAAATGGTAAGTCTACCAAATGATTACTTCATTTACTCTTCTCGACAAACAAAACCCTCTGCTGGGAAAAAGTCAATGAAGTGGTTACAGCTGAGAATACAGCAGGACAAAAACCACAGCGATGCCAGCAGAGGACCACGGGAGAGATGTGGTACCAGTTTAATTGGAAAACTTGTGCTTGAGGTGCCACGTAGTAACAGGAAGAGATTGGAGGATAGGTTTTATCCTGAGCACCGTGAACATAAAATATTGCTATGAGGCATGGACCTGACTTGGAGCAGAGCACTATAGACACTAATGAGAGGATGGGAGATGCAATGATGGAGACAGCATGAAGGAAAAGCACCTGGAAACCGTTAACAGGTCATAACAGGGGTGAGGAAAGCTGGAAAAATTGTATGATTTTTCCCAGCTGCTAATGAAGAGAGAGATTTGCAACGTTCTCCCAAGTCTGAGAAATTAAGGGAGAGGGAAGTATTTGGCACAGTAAAATGCCTTCCCTGGAGGTCAAGGCTAATTAATGGTTGTGGGAGTCAGGAAAGAATATAGCTTTTGTCTGAATCCTGAATCCTTCTCGTTCTTCACCCGTGGCCTAGATCAGCTTTTTGTCTCTTGTTACTCAACGAGATCAGCCCACACTGGGTATGACATTACAGGGGATAGACACTGCCAGAGTATTTGCTATCTATTCAGTGGTCACCCATTTACAGCTGGGAGGAAATGCAAGAGCCAAGAGGTGATGTCCTCACTTCCTCACACCTGCAGCTGCCCAAGGATCTGCGGTTTCTGTTAAATCACTTTTGTTGAGTAAAACCCAACAATTTGCTTTCCAATTTTCTAAAGGAGACAAGTGACTAACAGGTCTGAATGGAGCTTCATAGCTCCCATCTGGCTCTTGGGTGCCTTCAACCTTTTCCAACCTCAGCTGCCTAATGCTCACTGGATGCAACATGGTGAGTGCACAGTTCTTTGTCGTGTAAGATCGTATGGATTATCACAGCCTGTCTGCATTGCTGTCAAGTGGCAGGCTTCCTTGTGCTTCATCAGTGGTACTTCACAGGATTCAGGGGTTTTGGTCCCTGTGATGGGCAACGGCCAAATCCCATGCATGTTCCCAAATTAGGATCAAAAAGTCTCAACATGGGACATTTATCTGCCTTTTACAAGCACTGGGTTTTCCCTGCTCTGTGTATAAAGACCTGTCTAGTGACAGAGCTTTTCTTGGGCTGTTCAGCTCTGCAGCAAGTTCTTAAAATTCATCCTGCCATGACAAACTCAGGAGCAGAGGAGGGAAAAAAAAATCTCACCTTCATCCTTCTATTTTGGGGGAGCAGCACAGGGAGAGCCCAGCCTGCAGCAATCCTCTTACACCCTCGTTTGTACAGATGGCTTGTGTGGAGAAGAGAGGGATTGTAACGCCAGAAGAGATGAATGGTATCTACCAAGTTCTTTATCCAAGCTACAGTATTGACCTATATCTGCTTCATAAAGGTGAAAAAACATGGATAGCTGTGTGGGTTGAGCGGGAACATCTTCCTGCTGCCAGCTGGCAAACAGCTTGGGGATTACAGCATGAGGATTAATAGCCTTTGTCATTTGTAAGTGCAGATGCTAACCTTACTCACATGACAGACTGATCTTCTTTGGATTCTGTGCCTGTTTGCTGTTCCAGAAAGATGACCTTGGGCTGCTGTGAGAGACAAAATATTTACACACTCATTTCTTAAGGCCTACAGCATAGGCTGCAGGAAGACACAAGCTCACTCTGCACTGGAAGAAAAAAAAAAAAAAAAGAAAAAAAGCTGTGTGCCTTCAGCAGATCTGGAGCTCAGGAATCATGCAGAGAAACCGGGTTTCACCTCAGGCTTGATGCCACTGCAGCCTGGCTGTGCTGCTTTCTGGAGTACAGAGTTAGCAAACTCTCAGCTCTACACAGCACAAGCACACTGAGAGCCTTCCCTCCCCACCGCCTCCCCAGCCACTGCTTGGGGTTTTCATTTCTTGCATGACAGCTTGTTAAATCTGCACCAGATTCCAAATAAACACTCAAACCAGCTATGCTGAATTATCCTGTATGTCTTTCCAGGCTTTAGGATCTGTCAGCTTCTGCCTGCTTTTATCACAGAAGCAGATCAGTTGGAAGCCAGCGTCACTGCCTGGGGTATGAGAACGTATTTGCTGGGGTAGCGCACACTGAAGGGAAAAACCTGCCTCATTCAAAGTGTGAGCTCTTCTACAAACCCTGGCTGTTCTGGCTGTTTTTTTATTATTTGTTTGTTGTTTTTTTTTTTCCCCCCCTCAAACCATAGTTGCAAACTTCACACTTAATACATTTTAAATGGAAAGTGGATGCTCCTGCATACTAATTCCTTCAGGCTCTGTTGTCCTTTTAGAGAACACAATGCTTACAAAAAAAAAAAAAAAAAAACAAACCAAAAAAAAAAAAAAAAAACAAAAACAGAAGAAAGCAAATACAGAACAGGTTGTTTCCTCTGTCATTAACTCAGTCCACACTGAGGTGAAAGGGTGTCACTACTTTGTGATTACTAAATTATCACAGCCCAACCAACAAGCTTCAAACTCCACAAGCGGACTAGAGATCAGGGAGGCAAGGTCTTGACAATGAGCATCGTAACTTGAAGATGACCTCTCCAGGAGTCAGCTTCCCTTGAGCCCTGGGATAATGCGATAGGGAAGGCCACATTCTTTGCTCAGCCTTCCTGTCCACCTTTTGTGGTGAAGGGCAGAAGGCAGCTGAGAGGCAGAGAGATGAAGTGCAGTGATCATACAGATTAAAGATGATGATAAATATGGGAGTGGAAAGAAAGCTCTGCAGGCACACTAACTCCAAGGTCACCAAGGACCAGCTTCAACTGAAGGAGAAAATGAACTGCCACCAGAGGAAACGCCTGTTCCTCTGCCGAGCTGCCACCCTAGCCTTTATGCTGGAGAGCTGATCAACAGCAGCTGGCAGCCTTTGGTTCTGTGTGTCCAAGATCATCTACAGACATTCATGACTGAAGATCAGCCCACTTTGCAAAGCACCAAATAACTTCTCAGGATCTGCAGCCGCTAAGAATATATCCAAGTATTGTTCGTGTGCCCCAGGAGCTGCACAACTCATATTGCCCTGCGAGGGAAACACAGAGAAGCCAGAGCGACAGGAGTGAGCTGCCCACAGCATGGTTCAGGTAATTAAAGACATATGTAAAAAAGAAACCCAAACAAATCAAATGACATAGCAGACCATCCAGGTAAAGCCTTTACAAATGGGCACTTCAGTAAGCTACAGCTGTAGGTCCATGGGCTAAAAGAGGTACTCGTTTCTGTGGGCATCAGTTGAAAGTCAGGGAATATAAATGTGGGGAGATCATTCCGTTCTGTTGTTGATACACGTTAAAAACAAAAAATAAAGTAACAGCACAGAGCCTAGCAGGACAGGGGCATGCTGGCTGGAGAGACACCAAGAGAGGAACAGACTGCAACCAGCTGAACAATGCTGTTTGAGATAGAGATGCATCCAGAGCACTTGCCCACCACATCCTGGGCTTATGCCAGTGCAGTTAGCTCCTTCTCACACAATAGTTTCGTGGGGTTTCAGGCTTTTTTTTTTTTTCTTTTTTCCCCAAGAGAAGAAAATTCAAATAAGCTACAAGGCAGTGATGTCAAAAGGGGATGAATTATCTTAGAAAACATGAGTGCATTAGGAACCTCCATAATCTGGACTTGCAAGTGCCCAAGCAGTCCCAGAACCAGGGCAGCCGCTGCTTTCCCGCACGCTGAATGTCCCACGGCTCTCCCCCCCTCTTGGAGCCCCACAGAAGCAGAGATCAAGTATCAGCATCAGCACCCATGTGAGCGGAGGCCAGTGGAGCACAGGGCCCCAATTCTATCAACTATGGCCAGCTGGGAGCCAACTGCAAGTCACGATTCCCAGGGAATGGAAATCTTTCTGGAAATTCAGTCTTGTCAGCCATTTCTAAAGGAAACAAGGGGTTAAAGCAGTGACTGAAAGGGCAGTGGTATTTACATAAGAAAGACCATGAGCACAAGCCAAGCCTGTATCAATATTAGCAATGATTAATTCAATCTGTCAATGGAAAGAATTACGGGAGCTCTGGAATACGGTGGAGCTGCTGCAAAGCCTTCACTTCACAGAGTGTCAATACTGAAAAGCAAAAGAAACCACAAAATCAACAAAAATCCCCCCAAAATGGCGAGCAAGCATGAGCACCCTCATCACTGTGTTCACCCCAAGACTCCTGAATTCCTCCATTGCTTCTGTAGGAGCTTAATGAACCTCACAAATGCACTGCTCCACGTGGATGCACCAACAGGTTCAGCCGCAGCTCCAAAAAAACAGTGCTCCCCTCGTCTCACCCCTTTTCCCTTCCCTCCAAGTTTTTCTGGTAAAATATCAGGCCAAAATTTTGCAGTGATGCAGCAACCTGCTTCTATCTGAAAGCAAAGTTTTAAAATGTGCTCAGATATTAACTTACTCTAAGAAAGCTATTTTCACTTGCTTTCCTCTGACTCCTAATATTCTACACTGAAATTATATATTAAAATTCAATTCCTTTAATGCTGTATCTTCAGAAAAGATCTTGATGTGAAAACAGCATGGAAGTCCAAAACCAGTTTGCTTCATTGCTTTTTAAAATTAACTTTTCCAAGGTTTTTTTTTAATCACACTATTATAAATCTGGGTTATCTCCAGTTCACTGCTGAAACGTACTATCAACTTACACATTTCCCTTAGCTAATCATTAAGCATAAGCAACACTTTGCAGGTTAAAGAAGTTATGAAGAGAATCTCAGTAAATTTATTATACATACACATCCCAGGTAATAAGATTACTTATAAACACTTGTATATACATTTGACGCAGTTCAGGAAAAAAGACTCAGAGATTGGAAAACAACTGAAACCAGCAAATGCACTGTTTGATTTGGGCTGTTTCCTCTACTTTTTTCGCAGAAGAAAAGTACATGATAAAAACCCATTTCTATTCTGCTGGCTACCACTCAAATGCTCATTTAATCTCGCATTGGTAATACAGCAGCATTAACAGTGCAGTCAAAAATGTATTTGTTTGCTGAGCTGTTATTTGGGTTAGATCCTGCTTTGTGACACAAAGCCCCAGTAGAGCAAAGCCAGATATTACGCTAGCTTCCCTAGGCAGTGGAGGGCAACCCTCCTCCATAGCATACCCACCGGTCTCACTGGAAAAACGATGCTTGGAGAGGTAAGTGATAAGAATATATAAAACCATGGTGTGTAGAATAATTTGTCTCACCTATACCAGAAGTCCTGCTACATGCAGATTATTCCATCTGCCTCATGAGGACAGACAAAGCCTGTGTGTAGGACACCAAGTGATAACCCGTGTGTATCACACCACTGCCCTGCAGGGTCTGGCTAGCTTGGATGCGATGCAAGCCAGCGCCCAGGCTCAGTTTTGGTCAAACAGCCAGTGCCAAACCTTGCACTAGTTAGATTTGCACAGCACCGCTGAAGGGAAGGAGACAGCTGTGGTGCAGTAGGAAGCAGAATTTGGTGCCAGGTCTCAGTAAATGACAAAAACAAAACATGAAGTGATTCAGTACAGGCAAACCTTTAAAGAAAAATATTTCCTGTGTCTTGCTATCAGCAGGAGTGGAGAAATGCCAGTCCTCTCCTAGAGAGCGCAGAGAACAGGAAATTGGGCAGCTGACAGCATTTGAAGGTGGCAGCACCTTACTGTCTACACACCAGCACTGCACTAGAGGATGAACACCCTCTTCTGTGTCGCACACAGCGTCGCGACAGCTCACACCCAGTAAACTTTCAGTGGTCAAGCAGCAGACTAAGACACACCCCCTATTCATTGTCTCCATGACTTGAACTCACAGAGTCGGGGAAAAAAGATTAAAATGGAAAAGAAAATACTGTCTGAAAAGTAACTACATAGAAGTGTCATCACCTCTTCCAGCAAGCCTGTTCCTTGCAACATTTGCAGTTAGAGGCAGGAAGAGTAACACTTTTCTCTGGCATTAGTTCAGCAGAGCCAGCAGCCCCTTAGGGGGGTCCCCTGGACCCTACTCCTTGCCTGCAGGAGAGCTCGCCCCAAAGACGAGGTGACATGGTCTGGCACCCTCTACTGCTCAGTGTGCCAAAAACGGTCCCCTTTCAGGTCCCGAGCAGATATTACAGGATTGCACATTTGAAGACGAGCCCTGAGCAAACTGAGCTGTGCTTAACTGAACTGCAGAGAAACCATGAATCTAAAGCCTTCCTGTGTAATGCTCACAGAAACGCTTTCCTGAATGAACCTCACTTTTAAAAACCAAAGTAACACATGGGCAAAACAATGATGCAGGAAAGAGTGATTCAGGCACAAAGGTGTATGTGCAGCTTGTTCTGGTCTTTTTTGGTATTTGTGATGACAGAAGCCATGAACTTCGAGTAAGCATCTACACATGCATTGTATAACTCCAATATAAAAGTGATGATAGTTATCTCCCGTGCAAACCTATGGCAACGCAGGCTAACAAGTGCACAGGATGCCTAATTAAAAATACTGATAGTGTTTAGTCCTAATATCAATTGTTAGTACAGAACAGTAGTAATGTCTAGGCACTTAAAAGTTGACAGAGAATTCAAGAGTGTTTTCCCATGCTGCTGAAAAATATATCATCCAGTCTACAGTGGTATCAAATGCTTACTTCTAGGACTTAGAAATATGATAATAAAAGGGAGAGAACGTGATCTGCATGCAGGTTAGCCTTTCTGTGAGCTATCTGCGTGTCAAGAATATTTGCAAACTTCATTAATATAAATAAGGGGAGGAAGGGAAGAGTTTACCCCAGAAGAAAACAGCATTAAAATCAGTCCGTGATGGTTAAGCCTACAACAAAATGAGCAAGACAATGACCAAGGAAAGGATTTTGTAGGTATTCCCATTGCTTCTCCTTAGGTTTAATTATCTGGATGTAGAAAACGCAGGATAACTTGGAAAGACAAGAACTGAACTTGCTTCCCAGGCCTTGCCACCTGTAATACCCATGACTGCTGACACTGAAAAGTCAGATTAAAGTGTATGCGACCTGTCAGAGCATGGCGCTTGCCATGGGATAGCTGTTTTCTGCTGACTGAGGACAAGGGAAGACTGCCCACAGTCCCAGGACCCGCAGGCTGCCCTGCTAACCCCTAGGACTCCAGCAGCGTGTGCCACCTGCAGACTTGCGTCCCCTTCGACTCCTTCATTTCCTGCCAATGACTTTGCTCTTCCTCTCCACTGCTGTTCTGACCCATAGAAATCCAGCCGATCATCTCTTTGCGCTTCATGCTGCGCCTGTTGTATATGGAGACCATTAGCGTGACATCAGAGAGCTGGAAGAGGGCAACCTGGAAGATGAAAGTTTCCTTGTAGACAGGGTTGGGCTGTCCTCGGCGGATGGAGGTCTTGCAGCGAGACATCTCCTGACCCACAGAGTTGAGCAGGCAGAGCTTCCCGTAGGTGTCTAGGACAAAAAAGAGGAAATAATATGTTTGGCACAGATGACAGACTAAATGAAAGCCCCAAGTGGTCAAAAAACACCCCAAAAAACTCCAAGTAGAGCATCTTTGTCTGCAGTGAATAACAGATGAGGTCTGGACTGTTCTCCTTAGTAAAATCTGTGGGATGAGAATCAGCAGGTGAAAGCACCTCTTGGATTTTCTCATATTCAGCTAGGGAGAAAAAGGAAGAAAACTGATGTGTGTTTTAGCCCTGCTCTCTTGGAAAGAACAGGAAATCTGGTTGCCAAGCCTAGCAAACCTGTCTAAGACTAACTATGAGCATCACTACAGATTTTCCACATCAAATGGTGTGTCTCTACCTTCCCCTCTTCTCCCTCACAATTAAGCTTTGTTGGGGTTGTCTTGCCAGGGCTTCCCTTGGCTGCACTTGCCCCTCCACCACCCTCCTTTGGAAGGATGCCTCTATGACCTATTATTTGAGATAGCAAACAAAAAGGGTCCTAAAAAGGAGGGAAAGGAAACCTGCAGAGACGGTGGAATTATTTGATCTCGCGTGACAGTTTCAAGGCTTTTTCAAAATTCTCATCTTACTTTTTGGACTCAAGGTCAATTTTATTCACTATTTAAGTCAATACAAGGAGTAAAAATTCTTAGTAGAGACAGGAAGGGATGGTCCAAGTCAGTGTTCCTGTAAGTCCACTCTTAAAACTCTTGCTGACTCCTGTTTTAATTAGTTCACCTCTGTTAAGTGATCGTTAACACTGTGGTCTCAGGCAGAACTCTGTGGTCCCAAAGCTCCACAGACCCAGCTCAGTGTAAGTTTTCACCTTGCTCTGCACATGACAGTAACCGATCACTTGGCTAGAAAAGTCCCCTCCTAACCCCTTCGAAATCTGTGCCTGGGTTTCTGCAAGTGAGTATTACTTCAGAGTGTGCTGAAGATAGGAAATAAATAACAAGCCTCCGTCTCTTGTCTACAGCATGTCTATCCTCTTCTGTTCCCGTCTGATGTGCTATTTTACGCACTTATCTACTGAGCAACACAAGGTGTGAAATTACACTTCAGGTGTGAAAACACTTCTGTGTCTCCAATGCAGGGCTTTCCGCTCCTCTCAAACTGTTCCACTGAAAAAGCTGTCAGGAGACTGACAATCGAGGAGCAAATTATGAGCCTGCACAGCTGTACAGCTATCAAGTTACTGCACAGAAAGTTCAGTCCAATCATTAGCTGGAGGTGCCAGCTTGGCTCCCAGTGTAACACTGGAGATGAAGTAGATCTTGCCAACAAAGACGCACTCGTTAGAAAAGCAGAGCTCTGACATGAAATAGTTTCCTGATTGTATCTGGGAAGGAAAGAACTGCTTTATCAAGAGGTGGACTAATTCCCACAGCAATATTCAATGTTGGTGGCACTGAGGGACTGAAATCTGTAACAACTTCAGACCCATCAGAAACACAAAGCCCAAGAGACGACTCTCTCTTCTGGCTCGACTCAACGTGAAACCACGCAAGGTAACTACCAGCCACAATCTCTTCCAGTACTCATAGAGATGTCACTTTGCTTTGCACTGACAAAGCGTAACATGAGCTGAAGCATTCTTCATGTGGAAGGCTGCTGGTCTGAAGCTGCGGGGAACTCCCCGGAAATAAATATAAGTGGGGAGTAGAGGTTTTATGTTTTATTTTTTCATATATTCACCCTTTTTTTGTGAGGAGGGGATTTCAAAATAGTGAAAGATCTCCACGAGGCTGAATTTTAAATACAAACAGCTAATTAGTACAATTCCCTGTTCGAATTTTAAAACTTTTCTTTCTTTCAAACTGAACACTTACATTTTCTACAAAATTTCAGTATATTTCCAAACCAATCCCCATTTACAGGCCGAAAGCTGAAGGGGCTTGTTTCTGCTGACATGCAAGAGAGGCGAGTGGCGAGACCTAGAAATTAATGGAGACGAGACCCTTCCTATTTGCTCCTGGCCCAAACCCTCCATTTTTCTCTAGATATATTCTTGGAGTCATGTCGTTTTCCCCAGTACCCTCTGAGGGTTTTGCTGAGGGTGAGGGGATTTGTTTGGGATCACAGCAGGGGCTGGGTACGGTCAGCAAGGGCAGAGGTGGAGCATGGAGCAGCCCCGGCGAGGTCCTGCCCCTCGGCAGCTCCTGGGAGGGTTTCCCCGGCGGTGCTGGGGCAGGGGATGAGCAGAGCGGAGCAGCAGTACACAGTCAGGGACTGCTGCAAACACCCTCGCTGCCATCCCACCTGAGCATGGCAATGTCCAACGTAGCTAACAGCAGATTAAGTACTTTTTTTAGCTTATCTTCCCCTGCCACTTGAGGGAAAGGTCATCCACACATGATTATCTCTTTTTCTGAGAAGACAGGGAGAGGACTGAGGTCTAGATTTTCCTCTCAGTAAACATTCCTATCATCCTTCCTTCTGACTGCCACCAGTATTGGCAGCTCAGGAGGGATTCATCACACCTAGCTGCAGGCACATTCATTCGAGCGGTCCCCAAAAGAGTCAACCCATTTATCATCAGTACCACCAAAGAAACACGTGGCATAATTCAGCAGCGATCTAGTAGACAATGCTACCTTTACAGATGATTTAGGTTTTCACACTAGAGCAAGTGCCACAGCTAAAACACCTCATATGACGCTGTTTCAGGATGTCACAGTTAATTTTCCAGGCAATGAATGGATGAGTTTCTTGCAGTCGTAAACTCAAGGCTGTCACATCCCTGACTGAGGCCTCAACTTTTGCAAGTGAGGAGTAATATAGCTGATTCTGAGATCAGTCAGAAAATTAGGCTTTTTCTCTAATACACATCATCAGATCTGCTACTGATTTCTATACCACAGTACTGCCTATACAGTACCAAGGTCAGTGGGAATTCTGCACCTATCATCTGGATCAGGCAAGAACATTCAGGCTGGAAGAAGACTACGCTCAGGGCAGAGCTAATATCAGGAGCCCTATTCATCCCCGTATAAACACAGGCACAAAACCAGTGCAAGTGACAACTAAATCAGGCTGCTAATTCTTCTCAAATTTATGCTACTGGGTGCATTTTACCAGCCAAAAGAATCAAGCTTGCCTGAACAGAAATAAAAGAGTAGGTGTGGATAATATATTTAGCATCTAAAATTTGCCTTGCAGAACTGGTATGCATGAGGCTGTGCTGTTATTCGGCTTCACTAACTACCTTTTAAGACTGTGGTTTGCCCTTACTGCATTGTGCTCCTTGCAGCATCTTTTTAGGTGTCTCATCAGGAAACGCTTCCTAGTTCTTCCCGTGGTCCAGTATGTTCCTCTGAGATGGAAAATTCTCCCTTCTGGTTGGCTTTGCCAAAGAAAATCCATCCCCAGATACACAGTGAAATTAGTGGAACTACAGCAAGGATGAACTTGAAAATTTACTGAGGAATGTATGTGTGAGAGCATCTATTCATTATGAAGGCAAACATTTTCCATCTAATTACATGCTCAGATTCAGTAATGGCCTCATTACTGTGGTATCTCAGCACTCTACACTCTTCAGTGTATTTACTTTCATGCCACCTCTGTCAAGCACAAAAGGAGAAGAGAGATTAAGGCTTATATTCTTTAAAATGCCTAAGTGCTCAGCTTCTCTTTAGGGACCTATCTCACTGACATGAAGAAGAGTGAGACCTCTTAATATCTGGAGGTGTCTGAAACTGCATCTTGCCCACAGTTACACAAAAGTCTGTGAAGAAGCAACAACAAAGTCTAATTTTGCTGAGATCAATTTTAGCATCGCATCCACCAGGCTCTCCTTTCCATATAAGCTTTGGAACAGAAGTTCTTGCTGCAGATCATTTTTACTCTAAACTCATCTTCACCTCTGGTATGAGTGGATTGAACAATGTTCACATACACATAAAATATCAACACCTCTGCATTTAATACCATCGTGAAAAGCACTAAATCAAGGAATGCTGCAAGAAGCCAGACATACTTTAGGCTGGCACTGCATAATCTTATTCCGGAGGTTTGGCCAAACCTCTTCTTGTGCAGACTGCTCTGTCTCCATCAACACTGCCCCAACCATAAAACACCTCTTGAGAGCTCATCTGCAAAGGCAATCAGTTTATCTGCAATTCTTCTAATGACCCATTTCTGTCATCATCCTTCTAAGGCAACTAACTGATAATGACAACTCAGGGGAATAATCAACTATAATTTATACATTCCTGTTTTTAGAGCAGGGACCATAGCATGCATTCTGCTTTCATTTCCCCTAAGCTCCACCATTATTAATAAAGCTGACCTGTGAACAAAACCACTGCCAATACAAAAGCATCTAACCCCCTGCTTGAATTTATATTTAGAAAGGAAATAAACAGCCAAAGACTCCTGACCCCTCAGGTCTGTGGACTGCAGGGTACAACACAGTGCCGTACAGACTTTCCCACCTGCACTCCAGGCAAGCTAGCTCATTTCCAAAAGCAGTATAACCATGTCAGCATGCTGCAATCCAGACTAATAACAGCCACAGCAAAATAAAGCCTTGGGCCTAGAGCTTAATTTCACCCAGCTGGCATGCCCACGCTCTTAGCCTACATAATAAATAGCAGCATTGTGTGGCAAAGCAGCCCCAGAGCTTGACTCTGTGCTACTCTGTACACTGCAGCTCAAAGCGAGGTCTCAGTTTGAGACCCAGAAAACTGTTGCTCCATTAGTCATGGCTTTACCTCCCCATTAAATCAGCAGTGGGGCAGAAACACTCTGAAACTGGCTCACTGCAGCTGGATTGGGAAAAGAGCAAAGAGGAGAATTAGACCCAAGCTTTTGTTCCCAACCCCACATCGTGAAAGTCTGGATTAGGCCAGAGGCAGCTTGTGGCCTACTCTATAAATCATACAACAGCTGAGAGCTGCCTAATACACTGCTGAGGAGCCAATTTCTCTTCACTGATTCCACCAAATCTCTGCTGCTCAGGTCCCCTCTCCCATGGCTGGCAGCTTTCACACCAGG